TACTTTCTTGTCCTTTCACCTTCCTCAATCAAAGCCATCAACATTTCCCCTTTAAAGCGCAAGACGAATAGCTCAGCGTTTCACTTTGATTCCTCTCAGACTGCACTTCATTTCCACTGTGTTAGTCCTTTCACTATTCTCGCCCTTTGTTTCATTCTCATCATTTTATTTATTTGCTTTCATCGCAACTTCTTCCTTTCATTCCGCACCCTTTGTTTCGTTATCTCCGTTTGAATTGCGGGGCGAAAGCGAAATTTTCACCGTTTGATCATTTGCTTCTGTTTTTTGTCTCTCAGTTTTTGTTTGGCACCACTATATTTCTCAAAATCACAAACCAAAAAAAAAAAAAAACCCACATTTTCACTGATCCCTTCCTCTCAACCAAATTCTTAATTTATCCTCAATTGAAGCACTTTGTTTTCTCATCTGTATATTTCATAAAACCTCCTCCAAAACAAAAAGAAGATGGCCGAGTCAATTGGTACTGGTGTTGCTGAGACAGTTGTTGAGAACTTAGTTGATCGGATTTTGAATTTTGTTTTAAGTCCAATCAGTGTTGTGCGCAAGTGCAACGAAAATGTTCAGAATCTGAAGAATCAAGTTGAGGCGCTAGAGATTAAAAATAGGAGTGTGAAGCGCTATATAGAAGATGTTGGCAGAAGAGGGGAAGAAAGTGAGGAGGGCCAGATGTGGCTGACTAAAGCGGACGAGCTCATCAAACCTGCAGGGGAATCTATACGAGATGGTGATGAATTTGCCAAGAATGAGTGTTTCTTTCGGCTGTGCCCCACTCCCCTGCCTCGTTACAAGCTCAGCAAGAAAGCAGCGCAGATTACGGGGGATATTGCAAAACATGTGCAGGAAGCTCATAGATTCGACCCTTCACCTTCCCACGCTCCTCTTCCACCACAGGACGTGGCTGCAGTTGTCGAAGGTTTTGAGGAGTTTCCCTCTAGAATGGCTGTTTTGGAGCAGATCATGAAGGCAGTAAGAAATCCAATCGTCAACACGATCGGAGTGCATGGGACTTCTGGCGTGGGGAAGACTTTGCTTGTAAAAATGGTTAGAGGAAAAGCAAAGCAAGACAGCTTGTTTACTGCGGTAGTTATGGCTAAAGTGACAAAGAATCCGGACTTGAAAAGTATTCAACGTGACCTTGCACGTGACTTGGGTATGGATCTGCTTCCTACCGAACTTCCACCAGAACAAGTTGCAGATCGAATAAGGGCAAAGCTCATAGAAAAGAAGAAATTTCTTGTAATTTTGGATGATGTTTGGGAGGCTGGAATAGATTTGGCGGAAGTTGGAATACCTTCTGCAAGTGAGCTGAAGCAGGCAATGGATAAAAAGAATGAAGATATGCTCCGCAAGATTCTACTAACCTCAAGAGATCTGAATGTTCTCTCTGGTATGATGGATGAGAAAGATCAGGTCTTTAAGGTACTTGAATTAGAAGATGATGAAGCATGGCATCTATTCAAGAAGATTGTTGGCAGCAAAGTTGAAAGCTCTGATCTTCAACCGACAGCTAAAGAGATCGTTAAGAAATGTCTCGGGTTGCCCGTTGCTATTGCATCAGTTGGAAAGGCCATGAAAGGTAAGACTCGGCAACATGAGTGGAAAACTGCTCTTGTGGAATTGAAAAGGCCTAATCCAGAAGGGATCTCTGCAGCTGTTTTTAAGCCTATAGAGTTGTCCTACAAGTACTTACAAGGAGATGAACTCAAGCAAACGTTCATGCTTTGTAGCTTGCTGGGCCATGACTCTTCAATCAATGACTTGTTAAAATATGGTATGGGCTTGAATTTATTTCGGAGGGTGAAAACAGTGGAAGAGACACGAGACAAAGTATTGACACTGGTTCACAGTCTCAAACTCTCTTCTTTGTTGGTTGATGGTCACAGCAATATGCATTTTGGTATGCACGATCAGATTCGGGAGGTTGCCCTGTCAATTGCTTCTAGGGACCATGGTGTATTGGCTTCAGTAGATGAAGATGGAGGAAAAGACTGGCCAGAAAAGGAGACAATGGAAAATTTGAAGTGGATTTATTTGTCAAATGGTCATCCTGAGCTCACGAGCAATGGGTTGAAATGTCCGCAGCTCACTTTCTTTCATTTGTCTAACAAGGGTTGTTCTCTGGCAGTTCCAACAGATTTGTTCACTGGAACAGATGGGCTCAAAGTCTTATGTTTGACTAAAATTGATTTTCAGTCAATGCCTTCACAAATTCCCTCGATCCCAACAAAGCTTAAAACGTTGCTTTTGGACCAATGTGTGTTTAGAGTTGAAGAACTTGGCAACATTATGGGAAATCTGGAGAAGATAGAGATCCTTAGCCTTGCAGGCTGTGATATTGAAGAGTTGCCAAGAGAAATGGAGAAGCTAAACAAGCTAAAGTTGTTAGATGTGAGTGACTGCACCAAACTGAAAGTAATTCCACGACAAGTCCTAGCAAGATTGTCTAAATTGGAAGAGCTAAAAATGGGAAACAGCTTTGATCAATGGGATGATGTGGAGGGAGGAAATGCTGGGCTTGCTGAGTTAACAGAGTTGCATATGCTCACTGCTTTAGAGGTACGTATTCCTAATTTCCGAGAAACTTTGTTTCCTGAAAATTTGGAAAGGTTCAAGATTTTCATAGGAATAGCGAGGAGGAGGGAGTCTAGGGTGGGTTACTATTGGGACAGTTACTCCTGGAACAGCTCTTTTGAAAGCTCAAAAGTAATGAAGCTGAAGCTGCAGGGTGCAAGCATTAAATCTAATGACTCAGTTAAAAAGTTGTTGAAGAAGGCAGAAGAACTGTATCTAGAGGGATTAAATGGTGTCGAGAGTTTAGTTGATGAGTTAGATGATGAAGGTTTTCAACATCTGAAGTGTCTCCATGTCCAAAATGCTCCAGACATTCGACACATCTTTAACCCAGCAGGGAGGTTGCTTCCTTCCCATGTATGTCATGGTCTGACTGGAGCAGCACCTTTTAAAGTATTAAGAAAGATAACCGTTGTTGAATGTCATCAATTGAAGAATCTGTTCTCCTTCTCCATGGCCAGACAGCTTCAACTTGAAGAAATAACAGTAAGTGATTGCCGCCGCATTGAAGAGATTATTGATGACGTGGAGGAGCAAGGCAACGGAAATGATATCGTTGAAGAAAGTGAAGGATGTAAGCTTGGTGGCAGTCTGCGGTCCTTAACATTAAAAAGGCTACCAAAACTGATTAGCTTCTTCAACAGTGGTAATTGCAGCGGCATCTCACTTTTCAACAATAAGGTACTTAATTCATTTCCTTCATTTTATTTCATTTTTTTGTTTCTTTGCGGAAGAGTAATTAGAAAATATAAAAAATTAATCTTACCGTTCCTTTTTTCTTTTGGAGATCAACTGGGTTTCAAGTTTGGGCTAGGTTCAATAGCAATCCAATAGTTTTAGCATTTTACATTTTTATAAAATTTATAAAGAGTTACTTTAAATTATTTTAAAAAGTGGCCTAGACATATTTAAAAGAAAAATATATTACTCATCAAAAACCTGAAAAATATAGGAGTATTAAAAAGGACCCAACCTTATTCCAATTTGATAACGGAGGGCGCAAACTTTTATTCCATAAAAAAGTGTGGAATGCAATCAATTTTTAAATCTATTGTGCTTGATTTAATTACAAAAATTTTTAATATAATTTAATGATTTGAATTCACATGATTGTGTTTGATTTAATTAAAATTTTGTAGATTCATCTAAAAAAAAAAATTAAAATTTTGTAGAATTTATCTGTAATTATAAACTTTATATATAGAAAACTTTTAATTATATAATTAGGGGGAATCATCTCATTTTTTTTATTCATTTTACTTTTTTTTTTATTTTTATTAAAAAAATTATTATTGGGTCACTTAGGTCTTTGGCTTATACTTGATTTTTTCCAGTAATAAATTGCATTATTCATCATAAAAGAAAAGGAGACAATATCATCTCATTTTTTTTATTCATTTTACTTTTTTTTTTATTAAAAAATTATTATTGGGTCACTTAGGTCTTTGGCTTATACTTGATTTGATTAGAAAGTATGGAGTTCAATTCCAAATTTTTTAACCAAAATAATTCCTAAACATTTAAATAAGCTAATTCAAAGTCTATCAATTTTAATTATTTTTTGGGTAAATAATTTTAATGAAATTTGGTTATGAAGTCTATATTTTTAATGATTACTAAACACTCTTCCATTTAGAACTCTCTCACCCTCATTCACAAATAATGAGGGTATTTTTTATAAAAAAAATAATTAGAGTATGAAATGCAATTGAATTTCTCAAATTTTTTTATTCAAAATAAGTATAGAGTTGAGTTAATATAAAATTTTTCCTAACACTCACTATTTGTGAAATCGATGATTTGAATTAATCTAACTAATTTCATGATTTACACACTTTTTAATTAAACCAAACATATTAAGTACAGGTTAGAGGTTAGCCGAAAGAAAAACATAAGAAGTGTATAAATGACTTTCACAAAATTTTAATCAAATCAAACATAGGGTATGAATTATGAAATTCAAATAATCAAAATTAAAAAGTTTTTAACCAAACCAAATACAATGATGATACATAGATTTAAAAATGAATTACACAATTTTTTGTGGAATTCATTTAAAACCAAGTAATAGGTGTTTGAATTAACAATTCAATGTAGTAGATAATAGATAGATAATATCTCATGGTCCATAGTTATTATTATATATAATATAAATATTTTATTAATTTAATTAGTTTAAACTATTAATTACTTATTTCAAATCTATGTACAAACACTCTTAAAAGAGATAAATAAAAACATGATAATATAATTTTTTGATGCATACATATTAGCAACTAAACCTTAAACCTATGATTAAAGAATATAAGTAGCTCTTTTATCAAACCATATCATTGATGGTACATGATATTTATCATACCACATTATGATTATAAGTTTTTAATAAACCACATAATATTATAAATATATCATTTTGAAAAATGAAAATAATATAATTATATGCCATGAAAGATTTTAAGCTTACAAAAACTTAATTACAACCATAATGTATTAATAAATAAGTAGATATATATAGTTGTAATTATATAATGACATCATGATTATATACTTAGAATATTACGTAATATTATAAATATATATATCACGCAAAACAATATCATATTAAAAGCTAATTATAGTGCTTGCAAATTTGATAAGTTTGTTAAATATGATAACCAAATAAAGGAATAAAATGCATATAATATTTCTTCTAGTTATATTTAGTTGTCCTATTTTATCTATTTACAATTATTAAGACTCCATTTAGTATAAATGTGATTTTGCGTTTTTGGTTTGGCTTTCAAAATTTTAAAATCCCTAAAAAAATTAAGAAGATTTATAAATGAATTACGTTTGAAGATTTGAATATTAATTTTGCTTATTTCCAATAAGTTTAGGATTTTAATTTTTAATTTTAGTTTTTAATTGTTCATTTTAATTGTTCGAATTTTGAAATTAAAATAAAAAATTAATGGCTACAATCATATGAAACTAAGTTTAAGAAATTTATTTATTACAATAATTAGAACTTGTTTTTCTATTTTCATCTTTATTTACAGTTAAACAAAAAAGGTCTTAAAGTATTTCTATCTCTTCTAAAATAAAGGTAAAACTAAAATATTAGTCTTTAATATATTATTAAAATAAAAAATGAAACAATAAAATCAGATCATATTTATTTTAAAATTAATAAAACAACTAAATCAGCTAAAAAGGAATACCTTATTTCAACTTTTCTGAAAAAAAACCAATGAAAAAAGAACTAAGAAAAAATTCTCACAACCTTACATATATTAAAAATAATCTCACAATGCACTTGTTAAAGTAAAATTTTAGGAGAATGTTCTTTAAAAAAAAACGAAAATGTTCCCCTCAAAAAATGAAAAAAAAGTGCTACTGTTTAACCGTAAAAAAAAGGAAAAAACGTAAGAAAAACAGTCTAGATCCATGTCCCACTGCCACGTGGATCCCCGTTTATTGTTCCACTCACAAAATCATGCCACCTCTCCTACCACACTTGCTACTTTGAAGTGGTAATGGAAAGTAAAAACCAGTACTCTTTAACTTAGAGAAATATGCATTGTAACAAATTCAACTACAAACAAGTACTGTTCGCTCTTTATGTCAAAATAAAAAAGAAAAAATACGTTCTTAATTTAAATAAATATTTTAATAATTTTTTGGAAGATATTAACTATATATTATTGGTCAACTTATTTCATAACTCAAATTATATCCTTTTTTTCTTTTAAGTTGGGTAAAAATTTTATTCTAACAATTATAGTACTTAATTCAAATCATTTCTAAAGTCTTTAATTTGTAGAACTTATATTTTATTATTTCTTTTTCTTTTTGTCCTTTTTTTTGTCTTATATATCAAAAAATTAAATGATAAGCTTTTCTTAATAAAAGAATTCCCTGTTTTGCAGGTTCAGTTTTCAAATTTAGAGGAATTGAAGTTGAGTAATATCAAAATAAATCAGTTATGGATAGCAGCTTCTTATACTGTGACTTCTCAAGAAATCATGAATTTCAGAAAGCTTAAATGTCTACAAATTTATGATTGTAGCAGCTTAGAATACCTTTTTACCCCTTCCATGGTATCAAGCCTTGGGCAACTCGAGAACTTGTATGTGTTATTCTGTAGAGATTTGAAACAAGTGATTATGGTAAAAGGAGTTGAGAAGGTAGTGAACACAGAATTGATATTCCCACGGCTAAACTCCATTTCGCTATGTTATTGTAGCAAGTTGTCAAGTTTCTATGCTAGAAGTTATGCACTCAAGTTCCAATCGGCCATAAAAATTAGGATAAGAGGCTGTCCAAACATGATTACATTTGCTTCTACATTTTCAACTGAGCAAGAGAAAGAGACAACTTATCGAGGAACTGATAAGAGATGCCTTGGAAAAAAAGAACCTGCTATCCATAGTCGGACTATATTCTTTGATACGGTTAGTTTTTTTCTTCACAAATTTAACATTTAATACGACTTTAATTATCGTTACTCAAAAACTATAATTTCCACTTCTTCTCAACATCACTCTTGCTCTGTTTTCTTTGATTAAAAAATAATGGTTTTAATGAAATTGGACCTTCTTAATTTGCAGGTTGACATTCCTCTCTTGGATGACTTGAATCTTACATTCATTTGTGTACAACAAATATGGCATAGCCAAATTACATTGATGTCCTCATCTGTTCAAAACTTGAGGAAATTGAGTTTGTGGTGCTGTGATGATTTGAAATTTCTCTGCACATCATCGATGGTTAAAAGTCTTGGGCAACTTGAAGTACTCAATATTGGGCAATGTGAGGAGATGCAAGTGGTAATACTAATAGAAGAATTGGTAGAAAAAGAAAAGACAAGCCAGACAATGTTTCCCAAACTAGACAACTTAAAGCTCTGTAATCTTCCGCAACTCATAAGATTTTGCTCCAATTGCAATTCTCTTGGAGAAGTATATGAAGCTCAAGGACTCAATGGTAGTGGATCACAAGTACTTGCAGCCACGCAATCAAATTTGATGGAAACAGAAGTCACTCAGCTTGTATTTCCTCAAATCCACATCACAAAATGGCCATTGTTGAAAAAAATGCATGTGGAACAATGTGTCAAGATGAAGGCATTTGCTTCAGAATTTCTAAGCAATGAAAAAACATACGGAGACAACCTCCTTAAAGGGGAAATTCAAGATCCTATGTTTTGGATTGGCCAGGTACGATCACCAAATGGGAAAAAAATCATTTTTTTTTCTTAAATACATGACGGAAGAAAAATAGAAAAAGTGAATCAAATAAAACCAATCAGGGCTTACCTTCTTTTCAATTGATCTTTTCTAAATTTAATTTGCTTTATTTCTATTTTCTCTAAAAATGGCTTTTCTCTCATTTTTCTCATCTGTTATGGAAGTCTCTGGCAACTAAAATTTTTCATATATGAATAACTCAGTCACCTGATATTATTTAGCTTGAGTACATATTTGCTGGGTTTGGTAAAATGCAATGCTATTTGATATCCTACTATTTAATTTTGCATTTGGTACAAATGTAATGTTATATCTTCCTATTTATTCTATGAAAATCAGTCAAATTATAATATTTAAAAAAGTTGTGATTAATTGTTGTAATTTTTTTTTTTTTTTTCTAATAGAAGGTTCTTGTAAACGTATATAGCTATTAGGCAAATGTTGGCTTGGGTTTTAGTTTTCACAAGTGATATATAACTTCCTATTTTTGAAGTATGGATTTCATATTTCTTACTTGTTTAGAGCTCAGGCTAATCAATTTGGCAGATGTTTCAAAGAATAGAGCGAATGCAGCTTGCTAGTAAAGCATAGGTTAGTTAAACTCACATATAGATGGGTCTCAATATAGTCAAGACATAATATAGATAGGTGTAAATTAATTTTAGATATGAAAATATCTCATTTCAATATGACATATCATAGTGCCACTTTAAATAACATGTCTAATCACATGCTAGAGGTAGTCCTAACATACCCTCAACTGCACAATGGTCCAAAAACACACATTCATGAGCTTACAAAAATCTCCGTTGCGTGGGACAGATGCATGCTTTTGGGTTACGTAGCTTAATTGCAAAACACATTATACAAAGGATTTGTATTGTAGACCATAACCTTTTTCTATTTTGAATTTTTTCATTCAATTTATAACACGTTGCATTTTTCAATTTGTCAGGATTCATTCCCCTGTCTAGAACAACTGGAATTTGCACAGAATGATAACATGACGAAGATATGGTGCGGTCAATATCCAGGGGTCTATTTTCCCAAACTAAAAGATATTAAACTCCTCCAATTCCAAAATTGCTCAGCTCTTCTTCCTTCTTTTAAATTCTTCTTCCAGACAGTACCCAGTCTTGAGAAGCTAGATGTGAGTGAAGCTTCCTTTCATGAAATATTCCAATGTGAAAGACTTTGTAGTGAGGGAAGACCACCATATGCGCCCTCTCGGTTAACTGAATTAAAATTATCGAAACTTAATGGGTTAATGCATCTTTGGAAGGAAGAATCTCACCTCAAATCGATTTTCCACAACTTGAGAACTCTAGAGGTGATTGAGTGTATCAAATTGGTGAATTTAGTGCCATCACTTGTTTCTTTTGAGAACCTGCAGACTCTAGAAATATCAAAATGTCATGGACTTGAAAATTTAGTGAGTTACTCAACTGCTAAAAGCTTCGAACAGTTGAAAAGAATGAGCATAACTGACTGTGAGTTAGTGGAAGAAATTGTCAAATGCATGGAAGATAATGTGAAGGATGGCATTGTCTTTAGCCAACTCCAGTCTTTGCAACTTCGCGGTCTTCCCAAACTTTCAAGCTTTTGCACAAGGAAGTGTGACTTTGAGTTCCCATCTTTGAAAGAAGTGATTGTGATAGGATGTCCACAGATGAAATATTTTTCCATGGGAAAGCTAGCAACAAATGAATTACAAAATGTTCAATGGACAAATGATGAAGAGAAAGGACACTGGGTAGGCGATCTTAACAGCACAATACAGGACTTATTCACTCAAAAGGTACACACATTAATTCAAATGATTTCCTTGTGTTTGTCAATCATTATACATTCTGTCTTCTTTACTTAATGTTACTAGATTTAGTGAAATAGATGGACATGTTAATATAATATAATTTAAGAAAATTTTTTTAAATAATATTTTTGTTGGGATCGTATGGGATAGTTTAGAGTGAAGGGTAAAGAATTGTATAGGTCTACTTTCTTCCTTTTGGATAGATAAGAGGCTAGCCATTCTCTTTTGTTTGAACTTTCTCAAAGGCAAGGAATAGGAGCACTTTCAATAATGGGATTAGAAGAAGAGCTTACAAGGTCAGTTGAGTGCGGCTTCACTTTCACTTAGTTTCTGAATCTAATGTACATTAAAAGAACCAGGGGTTGATCATTCATTTTCTATAATCCTTAATTTAATAATCAAAGAGACATTAGTGCAATGACAGAGAGTGAAGAACTTTAATTTTAAAATCTTAAAGGAATATTTTTGTATATTTCTCCAATTTGATTTTGTGATTAATTGGATAGTTATTAATGTATTTTCTTTCTTTGATTAATATCATTGTTATTGTTATTGGGTTCTATTTCTTATCAAGGCAATTAATCTGTTGGATTTTATAGGTTGGATACTTTGGGTTTGAAAATTTGAAACTCTCTGAGTTTTCTGAGTTAATTCAAATTTGGAAAAGGAATTCTGAAGAATTAACATTGCCTTTCAAAAAGCTTCAATCTCTAGAAGTTAATAATTGTAGCAGCTTGAGTTACCTTCTGACCCCTTCCATGGTATTGCGCCTCGGGCAACTCAAGAACTTGAAGGTAAAAGACTGTGCAGTAATAGAACAAGTGATCATGACTACAAGTGTTGGGGAGGTAGTTGAATCTGACTCAATATTATTCCCACAACTAAAGTCCATTTCACTAAAGTCTTGCTCCGAGTTGTCAAGTTTCTACGTGGGAAGTAAGACCCTCAAGTTTCCAATGTTGGAAGAAATTACTGTAAAGGACTGTCTAAAGATGGTTAGATTCACTTCTAAATTTTCAAATGAGCAAGAGAAAGAGACAATTGATGGAAGAAGTGAGGAATTGCTTGTCAAGAAAGAACCTAATATCTTCATTGAGGCATTTTTCTGTGATGAGGTGAGTTTTATTTTTTATTTTTTATTGTTTTAAAATTTCTTCACAAATTTGATAAGAACAAAACTTCACTGTTCCTTTTTTGCATAGTATAATTTCCACACTTCCACATCGCTTCAATAACTTTATGAATACAAATGTATTTGATGCACAAAAGTCAAAAAGACTATTTATATTTTTTTAATCTATAGCACCTACTCTTTTTACTCAAGTATAGATTCCACTGTTCTACCTCTTCAATAACTGTATGTTCAAAAGCTTGTATATAGAATTCAGGTATTCATAAATTTTTAATTTATGAATTACACTTCTCTTTGATTCAAGAATAAAAGTCTTAATGAAATTAGAACTTCTTTGTAGGTTGAGATTCCTAACTTGGAGACATTGACTCTGTCCTCAATCAATACAAAGCAAATTTGGAACAATCAACTTTCATCAATATCTTCATTTGCTCAAAATTTAACAAAGTTGAAGGTGATCAATTGTTCCAATTTGAAGTATCTGTTTACATTCTCAATGGTTAAAAATTTTGCGCGACTTGAAGAACTCGGGATTAGTGGATGTGAGATGATGGAAGTGGTAATATTGATAGAAGGGACAATGGAAGAAGACAAGATTTGCCAGACGGTGTTCCCCAAACTAGAGACCTTGACACTTAATGACCTACCCCAACTTGCAACATTTTGCTCCAATTGTGATTCTCCAGGAAAAATTTCTGACTCTGAAAGAGTCAATTTTGATACTGTATCACAAAAACTAATAGCCACACAATCGACTTTGGGGGAAACAGAAGCCACCAAGCTTGTATTTTCTCAAGTGACAAAGCTGCTGCTTAGACTCTTACCGAAATTCAAAAGTTTCTTCCCTCAAATGCATATCACAGAATGGCCATCATTGAAAAGTTTAGTTGTGATTGAATGTCATGGAGTGCAAATGGTTGCTTCAGAATTTTCAAGCACTGAGATGATACATGGAGACAGCCAACTTGAAAGGGAATCTCATCTCATGTTTTGGATGAGCAAGGTACGTACTATCAAGTCCAAAAGGAAAAAATGCATATATATATATATA